TTAAGGATTCAACCCGTAAAAGAATCCTTCGCTATAACTGTGATGGTAAAATATCAATTAAAATTGATATACCAGCAGCAGAAGCCAGAGTAACATTAAAACACAAAATTTTACATGATAAACCTACCGAAGTTGCAACGCCATCTGAAGTAAAACAAGAAATTAATGAAAACTTACATTTAAGCCCTGTTGAATTAAGATACCATCTTCGAAAAAAATTTGATATATCCAATATCACGTCCAAGCAAATTTATTACTGGTGGTCATATTTTACACAACAATTCTACAAAACTGATGAAAATCACGTTATCTCAACATGTATATTTTTTGACAAACAATCTAATAATTATTATGACCACTGTTTTCAGCTTGATACGGATAATATAACAGCTATTGGCTTCACAACATGCCTACTTGGTCAACTAAATTATGCAGAGATACATTGTGACGCTACATATAAAACTTCCAGAGGGCGGTTTGAGCTATATGGGATTGTTGGTAATTTTAAAGGTGTAGGTTTTGCATTAGTTTATTTAATTTTAGATACCACGAAAGCTTCTAAAAATGAAAATCAAGAAGGATTGCGGACTAAAGCACTTACAGACTTTTTTTATACTTTTCGCAATAAAGGTCTAAATCCAAGTTACTTTTATACTGACAAAGATTTCGCGGAAATAACAGCAGCAAAAAATATATGGCTTTTAACCAATATACAACTTTGCCTATGGCATATAGAAAAAGCGTTCAAAGAAAAACTTATAAGTTGTAAAAAAATTATGTATACAAATTATAAATACGAAGAAGTTATAAAAGAATTTACCTTTATTGATCCTTCTTTTATTCCGGATCTACAACGTACTGATAATGAATATTATATTGTCTGTCCCCTGAGCTTCGTAATACTATTGTTGAAATGGTTAAAACCCATTTTAACATGCATCCTAAAATCCCCATTAATCATAGGAGACAATTTTTGTCTCCTGCGAAAATAAGATTAAAAGCGGTTTCCGAAATTTATGAATTTTGTTCACCAATAACCTTGTAATATTATGGTCCTATTTGTGGTCCTCTTGATATAAACCTACAAGATGGTATCTTTGGATGTGCTCCACTCGAAACACTATACCACTTGGTAAAATAAATAATATGATTGAAGCGTATTGGAAGGTTTTAAAACACTGTTACCTTTCTCAACGTAATCATCCACGGCTTGATCATCTGATATGGATTATTTCTTCACGCGTTATACCTGATCAGGCTAATCAATTTCAGCAATTACTTTCTGATAGAATCGTACTAGCTTGGTTTGAGAAATTTAAAAAGCAATGGAAAAATTTCCTTAGCAAACCACTAAATAATGTTGAAAATCGATATTTTATTGATTTGGAACGTTGGATTTGCAGTTGTCCATCATTTCTTCATAATTGCTTTCTCATGTGTAAACATTTAGTCCACAAAGCATCAGAAAAAGCCAATCATTCCGAAGGTATCAGATTAATGTATTCAAATTTCAAACGACAATCTGATTATCCTTTCTTGATATGGAATAAAAACGAATCACAAAATATATCCGAAAATATAGAACCTATTAGAACATATAATCAGGTTAATATTCTTGAACAATATAATATAAACGAAGATTACGAAAATATTATTGATAAACATCAAGTTCTAGAATCTAAATCAGCCACATTACAACGTTTGGTTGACCATATTAATGAAGAACTAACAGCAAATAATTTGCGGCATGTAGAGGCAATTGTCAACAATTTAAATCATGCTTTTACAATTCTTTCTGATATAGAAAAAACAAAAAGACAAAGAGTATGATGTACAACTTGGTGTGATTCCAAACCTT